AGAGAGAGAGAGAGAGNGAAAATCAATTCGAGTCAGCAAGGAAAACTCATCCCCATTAAGTTTGCTAGCATTACTTTTGAACACCGTACCTTCTCGTCTTTCTTCTTGAGGTCCTGTTTCATTATCATTATTTGCTCCTCCAGACTTTTCAAAATGAGCATCTGCTCCAATTCTTTGTTCAACGCGTCGATTTTATTGTTCTTCTCCTCCAACTCTTTCGTCAGATTGACCACCGTTTGCTCGCAATTGTTCAATTTGTTCAACAAATCTTCGATATCGACGTATTCAGGCACAGTGACCGTCTCGACCACTTTCACTTCCTTCGGCTCCTCTATGTCTTTTATCTTTGCTTCACACTGGGCCAACGCGCGTTTCAAATTGGCCATTTCGGCCTTCAGATTCTCGTTCTCTGAACGCAGATCCTCGCAGCTTTTCGAGATGGACACCAACGTCTCGATTGGCTCCCCTTTCATGAGGTCACGAAGCTTCGCCCTTAGACGATGTATCGCCGGGCAGGTGACATTCTCCTCGGTCTGCGCCAATTTCAACTTCAATTCCGATATCATGTCTCGCAATCTGTCGAGAGAAAGGGCGAAAAAGTTCCTTTGACACTTTTAGAAAAAAGGGATTTCGAAGGGTTTGAGATCGTTCTTTCCCTCTAAATTTTTGTAATTCACCTTGTTTTGATTCAGAGTGAAAGTTTAATTTCTATGAAACGATCGTTTCGAGAAGAACAATGAATTTTATTATACTTGAAGGAGATGAAATAAAATTCTACGTTGATACGGTATAATATTTGATTTGGGAAAAAATATCGAGCGTTTTCAATTTTCAACTTTTACTACATGCTGAGAGATTAACTATCCCTGGAGCTATTATTTAAAAAGAAAAAAAATTGAGTTGATATTTTTATTAGTTAGTTTCTTTATAATTATCTTTACAGTTTCTAAAACAAGTAATAATATTTCCATCGATAATTGATATTGTAAATAAATTTGAATATTAAAAAGAATAAAAACACAGATTGCGAATAAAAAACGATAGATCTATTTAAAGAAATAAAATATCGAATATTAATGAACAATGTAAGAAATGATTACATTCACTAAGCTTTCAAGTTGATCAAGTTCGATCGATCTTAACATAATCTAACCCATAAATAAATCATACAAACATTTAAGAATGAATCAAACAAGATTTATCGAGAATGTGAATACACCAAACAAAAATTTTTAACAATATTTGTGAAAAAACATTGAAATATCCATTAATTAATTAACTCTTCGTATATGTAACAATAGGTCGTACACATTACTACAAAATTATAAAATATTGAAGAAATCTTTGGATCGAGACCACCACGTTTCAATTTCTTTTTCTCTCGCAAATTTCTTTCGCATCTAAATAATTTCTTTTAAACGAACACAAAATACTTGTGCCGATTTATTTGCAAATTCGCCCGAAACGCATCACCCTGTACCGTGTCGTTTTCCTAATAATTCGCCGACCGGAATAGGAAACGATTAAACGAGATCTAGGTTTACGAGGGAGAGAAAGTGGCAAGCAGTACTCTTTCTTTTCAAGCGCGAAACGCTCCCTAAAATATCTCATCTTCTCCCTGAGGAAGAAAATCGTGGCGCCAGGATCGTCGCAACAGTCTCGTTCGGCCAGAGTTTCCTCCAGATCCCTCACTTTATCTTCGAGCGCCGCGTTTGCATTTTGCAGCCTTTCGATTTCTTCCCGAGAGTGCACCAGCAGTGGATCGGGCTTCAATATCTCATCCGCATTTACACCTACACAAAAACACGTCTAATCTTTAGGAACATTCGGAACAGTGCACGTGCATACCTCGATATACACGGCTCAAAGAAAGAAGAGAGCTCTCTGAATTTTCGAAGCGAAAATCCTTGAAGCGAGAAAGTCTCCGGATCTATCCGTTCGAAGAAACGGTTTGTATCGCTATTACTAGCGGATGCGTGGGATAAACGTGATAATCCATGATATATATATATAGGGGAAATTGTGTAAATAGCATGGAAAAGAATAGTGGAAGCGAGAGATTACTACACTTTTGAAGGAAATAGCAGGGAAAAAGATGTAAGACAAATTTCATTCTTAATCGACGTTATACTTCTTTTAACTCTTTCTCGACAGGGAATTTTTTTTCCTTTCTCACGGAATAATTAACATCGTACGGAGTACGATCGTATATCACTTTCGAGTTCAAAACGATATGTATAAAAATATTCCGCAGCATTGCTCATAAATTCTCCTACCGATCTTAATATTCACTTCGAGGCATTAATTTGCATTGTCGACAACACGGGAACAATTTCGAGCTAATCAAATTAAACGAGACACCCGGTGTGTATAATTTCACCCGTTCTGCTTTTTGCAACGCTAATTGCACGGAACGACTATCCCCCTCCTCCTAAACGGCTAATTCATAAGGGAACGAGGAGAAACTCGAACGAAGGGTATCCGTACAGAATTCCAATTAATCAATTTCGCCACCTGCTAGTCGAAGCAGAGAGAGGAGAAAGGAAGAGGGAAGAAGAGAGAGAGAGAGAGAGAGAGAGAGAGAGAGAGAGAAGAGAGAGAGAGAGAGAGA